CCCCTCATGAAGGTTATGAGCTCATTCCTTGTAATGGGAGTAGATCCCTCAGCCGCCTACTGTTGCTCAGGCGGTGAGCCGGCTGGTTGGCTGGGACCAGCTTTGCAATTTACCCGTTCCCTCCTCTCGGTGGGACGGGTGCGTCGGGCCCTTAGGGTCCCGTCTGAGGCCGTGTGTGTTTCCACCTCGACCTCTTTATAAGTATCTTGGTCTGAGTAGACCTGAGGGTCGTCCACTGGACGCCTCTCTTCTGGATTCGGTACAGACTGTGGTTCCATCTCGAAAGTACTCTCCCCACAGACGGCGTCAAAATGTTTCGGGGTTTTCTGATGTCCTGCGGGAGAGTTACAATTCCGAGATTGGAACCGGACTCCTGTACCTGCAAAACAAACGGATGCTCCGGATGATTGGAGATCCGCCTCCGACGGTCAAGTTAGTACTTGATTAAGGAGTAATTAATGCGGAAATTAAAGTGATTGAGTCTCTCTAGGTGAGAGTGTTTAATGTGTGTAATCTGCTGAATCCCCTTTAATGAGGATTAATTAAGTATTTATAGTCTTGAGAAGCGTGCCAATTTTAGGTTTAGGTTAACCAGGGCAAATTGGGCTTCTCTCGGACTTTGGGCCTTGGTGGCCATTTTGCCTATTTGGCATATGGGAGGCCACGTGGCGTGGCCTGATTAGTCCATGTTGGACCTCTTAGGGTGACAAATGGCGGACGCTGATTGGCCCACGTGGTGGACACGTGGCAGGTCCGGATTGGTCCATTTGTCATGGGTAATTTTTACCCTAAACAGTAGGTGTACGGTTGATAATGGTATAAAACCTTGAATGTACCGCTGATAGACAATATTTTAGCAGGTGTACTATTAATAAAGGCCCAAACCTTGGGTGTACTATTGATAATTTCCCAAAAAAAAAAACACGAGGGTAAAGGTCTACTCAGGGTTCTCCTTACCAACAAAAGATATTATAAAATTTTGCCTAGGTGTCATGTCACCTCCAAAATTGATAATAATATGAAATGGAGGTAGTGTATATTCCCCGTAAATCTCTATTAGAAAATAAGTTTTATGGCCCATATACCAAATAAAATAGATGAAGTGGTATTATCAAAAAATTTGGATTTCGAATAAGATCCAAAACACCTAATTTTAAATTAAGTTGGGTTGTATTGAAGTTCTTGAAAATTCATATTGGATTTGACTCAAACTTTAACAATCAAATTTTAACTCATTATTGGACTCGAATCCAAACTGAAATATACGAGTAAAAGAAACATTCATCACAAGTAATTATGCCCTTGCAAGCTTATTACGTAGTGTGTTGTGCAATTAATTGGTTTATGTAAACTAGCACCAAAAAAATAAAAATAAAAATTATGTGAGCACACAAGAGACAGTTAGGAGCAAACCTGTATGACCTAGAGGTGATTATTGGGCAGATCGGGCTGGGACTAGGCCAAAAAATATCCCGTATGTCGGACAGGTTCAAACTCTGGGGCGAAAAGTTTGTTCTCAAACCCATCCAAAATGGCTGGGCCATGCGGACTTTTCGAGCCGAGCCAAACAAATCAACTAATTTCGCATAAAAATGTCTTTCTAAGCCCGCCCAAACTAAAATAAAATTAAAAAAAGGGCCGGTTTCGGGCCGGAAAAAAACTGCTCAAATCCCATCCAAAATAGGGACGGGCCACTTATGATCAGCTCTAGTATGACCTAAGGTAGGCAACCACATTTAAATTTGAAAATTTAAAAAGCTGAAAATAAAATACCGTGGCCTTGGAAATGCATTTGTATACTCATCTTGTGATCCATTTTTTGAAACTATGCTATTCTCTCATCTTTAGATGTAAATAAAGATGGGAATGCATTTGTATACTCATCTTGTGATCCATTTTTTGAAACTATGCTACTCTCTCATCTTTAGATGTAAATAAAGATGGGAATGCATTTGTATACTCATCATGCGATCCATTTTTTGAAACTATGCTACTCTCTCATCTTTAGATGTAAAGGAAGTTATTGTTAGAGGATCATCCCAACCAAAAGTTTAACCTGATGGTTGAAGCCAAGTATCGGTTTATATACTTTATCACGCCCCCTCACATGAGAGCCCATTGGGTTTGAAGTAGCATGGGCCCCACCATACCCAGCGTTTAATTCCACTATGAAAGGAGGGGTGAATAAGATTCGAACCCGTGACCTTTGTGTCACGTTGGCTCTTGATAAACTTAAGCTGATGATTGAGGCCAGGAATATTTTTTATACCCTATCACGCCCCCTCACACGAGAACCGTTGGGCTTGAAGTGTGGAAGTAGCATAGGCCCTCCTCATACCCAGCGCTTAATATTCCACTTGAAAGTGGGGGGTGGATGAGAATCGAACCCGTGATCTTTATGTCACGCTGACTCTTGATACCATGTTGGAGGATCAACTCAACCTAAAGCTTAAGCTGATGGATGAGGCCCAAGATCGGTTTATATACTCTATCACACCCCCTTACATGAGAACCCATTGGGCTTGAAGTGTGGAGGTAGCATGGACCCCACCATATCTAGCGTTTACTATTCCACTTTAAAAGGAGGGGTGGATGAGATTTATCTAACAGTTATTATATAAACGACAAGTAATAAAGACGAGATTCAATTTTAAATTTCATATTCTCATATATTTTCCTCTACACTTTAACCCATTAATCTATTATATGATAATCACAACATCCACAATTAACAAAACGATTCTATGGTTATGTTTTTTAATTATAGCAAGCACATGAATATTTTTGTGAACAATACGCTACTAGCCTACTATTGAGGGTGAGGTCACGAGGCATTACCTTCCACTAAGAAAAGCACCATTGGGGGTGAGCTGAGGTCACGAGACATTACTTTGCAAATTTGCAATCAATGAGAATGATATACGTAGTACATAACTCCACTACTTCCAATCGGTATCTTAGTATCTATACAACCCAAAATAAATAAACAAACCAACTGATGTGTTGTGGGGGAAAATTGTTGGAAGCGATCTAAGTATGTGGAAATAAAAGGAGTTATATTTGTATGAAGGTTGAATATGACTCCAAGGAGTTATATTTTTATGAAGGTTGAATATGACTCCAAGATTTCTAGAATCTTAAGATGCAATTAGCTTAAGTTTAAGCAACACTTTATTTCTTTATATCTAGTATTAGGATCTCATGCATATATCAATATGAATAAAAGACGAGTTAGATATACGGAGTACATACCTTCAATGTGTGTACTTAAATTCCTTTAAACGTATGATAATACGGAAAGAAAAGTATTAGTGTACTTTTATAAACGTAACCTTGATTTATAAGATAGATTAGGTTACTTGAGAGCAATTTAATAACCCTGAAATACCCAATCACTGTGGCTTCAACAGTGTTTTTGATCCAACCTTGTGATTATATGTGTGACCTTATATATGTTATACATCAAGTCACTGTGTTTAATCTCCACTAGGGACACTTTAAAACTGAAAACCCCCTTTTCTATTCCTGAAATTTCAAAGTGTTAAGCCTACCAATTGTATTGTTTAGCTCTTTTGGTCCGGATATTATATCAGACAAAAGTTCAAAATAATTGTACTCAAAATTCAGGTATCCAAACCTTATTATCTGTTTTAATACATGTACTTCCTTCGTTTATTATTTATTGCACCATAAGGACGTTTACACTATTCACGTAATCTTCTTTATCTTTTTTTGAGATTTATTCGTAAGGAAAAAACATAGTCATGAGGATCTAGTTAGATTCGTCTCGAAATTTACTTTCAAATATCAATTTTTATAATTTTTACAAAAGTATAATTAAAGATATTAATAGTCAAATTAATGCATCAACAAGCGTGAAATTACTCATGGTACAATTATAAAAAACGGGTGAAGTATTAATTATCACTCGGTAGTATTATTTGCATCACTCGATTTGAAGTCGATTCATATGCCCAATTGCCCAAACCATTGTAGAATTATGATTCATGAACTAAGTTCATATGTAATAAATAAACAATAATTTGGTAGTTGCCACGATGCCATTTCACCGTTAGCTATGTGGCTACGTGTACGTTCTTCACAATCTCTACCGATTTCCTAGAATTTAAAGCATCCATGAAATAAAGTTATCTTAGGATTTAAAAACTAATTATTTCAATAAAAAGTTTATTATTTTGATTTGATAATTGATGATAATCGTGAAAAAGAGATTTGTACAAGATTGAGTACAAATCACGCATTGGTGGACAGTTGGATTGCATGCCATGCAAGCTTAATCTTCCACTAAAACATTTACACTTTCTAAAATACTACCTCTATTACATATTAGTTGCAATTTTAGGATATTATTTGTGCGATATAAAATATTCTAAAGTTGCAACTAATATATAACGAAGGTAGTACAACTGGCACATATATGTAGCACTAGCAGGAAAAAAAAAATTACACTTATTGATGTTAAATATGGTTGAATTTAATTAATATTAACATGAACTTCTCAATTATTCTCTATCAAATTGACTACATCAATTTGATCACTATTAAACTATGCTTAATGAAAGGAATAGAAATATAGCTTAGGGTTATACTAATACATAAAGCGGTCCATAATCCATTTATATGTTACACTATTAAAGTTAGTCACCTCTATCTCGTCATAGCAGTACAAATCACCAACTAAAAATAACTAATTATTGTGAAAAGAATTAACTCAACCTAAAATAGTCGATTACATAAAACACGTGGATAAAAAAATAATAATCAATTTTAATCAATAAAATTCAACTTTTAATTCACATGAATTTTCATATCAAATTAGATCACATTAAATTAGATAAGCTAAGTAAAAATAAAATGAATTAAACAAACTTTTAGTGGAGAAATTAGAGTATAGGACGCATGTCACATAAATTTGGTGCTATATGAACAAAGCTAATGTGTCTAGTAGTCCTCATTTTGCGGACCATGCGCAACCGCTAATTTGCACAGAATTTCACACTCCACTTAATTCGTCACCCCATGAACTCCCTTTCTTCTCTATATTTATATTTCAAAACATATTACATACTTCATTGACTAAAATCATCTACCTGAAAAGATCATCAATTTCATGGAAACTTGTGAAGATAATAAAGGGATGAATGAGCCTCTCTTAAACACTCCCTCCAAGCTTCAAGGTGGTCTTAGAACTTTGCCTTTCATTTTAGGTTAGCCATCATTCCCTATTCAAACTATATGATTTCTTCATTTTAGCTTTATGAAATGTTTGTTCCTAAGTTTTGGAGATGCATTTCTTCGGTCTAATAATATTCTTATAAATATCAATGTGATTATAAAGTTCAGATGAAGGATATGATATATATATATATATATATATATATATATATATATATATATATATATATATATATATATATATATATATATATATATATATATATATATATATATATATATATATATATATATATATAGTTATCGTATTAAGATTTGCACCAAAAAAAAAATCGTATTAAGCTTGCCTAAAATTAGCATTATAGTAGTACTCCATATTTGTTAATTTTTTAATCTCATCCTAGTCTTCCATAGATATGTGTGAAACTATTAAAGTAATAAATATGAACATAAGCTTCAGGGTTTTTTTAGGTTTGATGAAAAATAAATAAATTACGTTTTCATTATTATTATTATTATTATTATTATTGAGTGGTGTAAACTGTAAAGTAAGTGGATTATTGAAAACTATAGTATTAGTAGGTGGTTTGATCGAAATGGTGTTATTATTAGTAGGTGGTTTGATCGAAGTGGTGTTATAAAGTGTCTAAACCCCATTTGATAGGGGATCCCACTTGTTTGGGATGAGAATCAAACCCCTGTCACAAGGTGTAAGGAAAACCTTCAAGTCTCCAATTAACTAAGCCAACACTAATTCTCATATGGATAAATTATGCAAGATTGACTAATATTTACTTCATCCGTTTCTTTTTAGTTTACACGTTTCTTTAGTCACATTTGCAAATGCACAAATTCAATCATTAATATCTTTAATTACCGATAAGCAAAAATTATAAAAAGTTGATATTTAAAAATATACATTGTGATGAATCTAACAAAATCCCACTCGACTATATTTTTCTTCACATATAAATCACAAAACATGGTCAAAGAGAGGTGTGTGAATAGTGTTAAAGTCAAAACGTGTTAACTAATAAAAAACGGTATATTTTTTTTAAGAGTATATTGCTAAACTGCAAACTTCTTGTGTATTTATGTCATGTAGTCAAGAGTATGAATAATGAAAATTTAATAAAGAAACTTACCCAAAAAAAAAAAAAAAAAAAAAATTACTACTGCTGTATATGATATTGTGATTTCATGAGTAAGCAACACGTAGTACTACTACTATAATTCACCAAACACTTCACAAACTTTATACTCCGATGAAATTGGAAGTATGAAGTGTAAGTTTCGTGTCAGAAAACTTATTTTGCGTAACTAACCATGTTCTCCAAATTTCCGCCCCCCAAAAGTTTTGTACTTTTCCGTGTTAAAGAATTTCTTCAAGAAAGTAATATACTCGGTACTTTCTTTAATAAGGAGTAGTTTTTAAAGTATCCCACTTTATAGAGTAGTTGGATCTTTTATGGAGTATATATATTCGGGTGTATAATTATTTTTTCTTGAAGTAATATTTGGGTGTACATAGAAGTAGGTATATTGATAATTTTATGTTTTTTTTTAACCCATTTTAAAATAAAATATCAAATGAGCAGAAAATACAAGTCATGCACCTAATTAGGTATATGTAGTTGCATTAGGACTTTTAGGAGTTCCCCTCGTGAGGAGGGTCTCCTAATGTCCTCTATTTTTCTTACCTTTATTTAAAAAAAAAAGAAGGTATATATAGATATAGTTTCAATTGACTAATATGGATTACTAAGTTATAAAAAAGTAAATTAAATGTAGTAAAATATTGCGTACGAGTTGTAATTTGTCTTGAAATTAAAAAATAATGTGTAGTTAATTCAAATTAAGGGATGTTGGAGGAGAATAGGAGATTAATACTATTAAAAAAAAGTTATGAGAAATGTCTATGACTCTGTTTGACAAAACTAGTGGTAGCAGATAGTTTTTAGTGGTCGATTAGTGGGTATCTATCAAAGTAACGAGTTGCTGTCAGTTAAAAGTGGATAGAGTTAATATACATTGATACATATTGTTTCTTTGAAGAAAAATTCACAAGTATTGTTAGAAAGTAATAATAATAAAAAAATAAATTAATAAACACTGAACGCGACCTGCTACTTTTAAAACACTTTTTTTAATGTGAGAAAAGTTATTTAAATGCTACCTCTATCCCTCAAAATTTGCAACATACAATTTGATTACACAAAGCACTCAAGGAAGAATGAGGATACTAACATACCTCATAAAACTTCAAAAGGAGACTTGTGATTTATGAATGACAATTTAGGCCAAAAAGTTCTTGTTATAGCCACTAGCCCGTTACAAGAAAAATCCACATATAAGTCGTCATATTTGGGACAAAGAGGCAAGGATGACTTTCACACATTGTCGATTAGTTTTATGATAGCTTATAAGTTATAACTACTAATGTTATCAAACTTGTCTCAATTGCTAGAGACGTGTAGAACTTAACTGTGAACCAATTTTGGAATGAATAAAATTGAACTTTCTAATTTAAGTACTTTAGTTTATACTTTTATTTTTTTGGTGTTTAGAGAGCCACAGGGACGATTGATTAGAATCGATCCCAAGATCTCTTGGAATCGGGAGGGAAGCTCTAACCACTTGATCTATCTCTCACTCTCTCACTTTATTTTATACTTAAATTACAATAAAGTTATAATAAATTACTTGTAATAAATTTGAACTTTCTGATTTAAGTATAAAATTATTAATTTATTTTTAATTGAAATTGCAGCAAATGAGGGATTTGAGAGAGCTGCATTTTATGGGCTGGAGCCCAATATGATAGTTTATCTAATGGGAAATTATGGATTGGAAATGGCAACTGGATCCAACATTCTTTTCTTGTGGGCTGCTGCTACCAACTTCACCCCTATTTTGGGCGCTTTTCTTGCCGATTCTTATGTGGGCCGCTTCCCAATGATCGCATTTGGCTCCATTTTTAGTCTCTTGGTAACTATTACTCCGTACTTCGTATTATTTTACAGAGTATTTATTTTTTCACTACTCGTATATGTTTTCTACTACGTAATTTATTTGTTTCCATTATTCCGTTATGCATGATTTTAGGTTTTAAAATATTAAGGAGATACTTAATTCGGTTGGAATTAGGTGTCTATGTAATGTTTTAGGATGCCCGAAAAAATTGTCACATATATGGTACGAGTATGCAAGTCATAATATTCCACGATATACGATTTAAGTGATAGGTGAACGTAGAAATGTATTAAAATATCTTTTTGTATGATCATGAGGGATTGACATAATATGGACAGAAGAAGTAATAAACGTGGATCGAAATTAAAAAGTTGCATGCTTGCATCCAATAACCTTTAAAGAAAAAATTTATTTTGTTAATTAATTAACTAAATGCATGACATTGATACTATACCACAGGGGACGATGCTTCTATGGTCAACAACTATGATCCCAGGAGCAACGCCATACAAATTCGAATCCGTCGCTAACACTAACCCATCTCCAACACCATTTCAGCTCATCCTTCTTTTCTCTTCTTTTGGCCTAATGTCAATTGGCACAGGTGGAATTAGGTCTTCTACATTAGCCTTTGGGGCAGATCAAATAGCAAGAAATGGAGTAGACGAAAATGCAAAACCGAATTGCGTTGGATTATTAGAGAGCTTCTTCAATTGGTACTATTTTTCGGTCTCAATATCGGTTCTCTTTGGTCTTACATGTGTTGTGTACATCCAAGATCATGCAGGGTGGCAAGCTGGCTTCGGAGTTCCTACCTTGCTTATGTTACTTTCGGTTGTTTCGTTCTTCTTGGCTTCTTCGTTTTATGTCAAGGTGAAGCCTCCTAAGGCTAGCTTGCTTACCGGATTCGCTCAAGTCATCGTTGCTTCTTGGAGGAATAGGCATTATGAGTTTCCAAGCGAGTTGAATGTGGACAAAGTTTATCATGTTGTGAAAGGATCTACGCTAGAATTTCCAAGCGAGAAACTAAGGTGATGTCCCTTTCTTTTTTTTTTTTCTTGAGTTAATTTGTTTCTACTTATTGCTTTGTAACTTTGTTTATTTCAAGCATGGTTGTGCAACGACCTTCACCAAAAGGGATACATAATTACCAACCCCGTCCCAAAATAATATGTCACGTGTAGAGGTGTCCACTGTGCGAGTTGTGCGAGCTGGGTTAGGGTTAGGTGGTTCGCGGGTTGGGGTTTCATGACACACGGCACGACACACGTAGGGTAGGGTGGGCCGGGTCGTGGGTTGGGTCGGAGAAGTTGGACACACCAGGGTTAGGTTCGTGGGTTAGACGGGTCGTGGGTGGGTCGAGCTGGGGTCGTGGGTTAGACGGGTCGTGGGTGGGTCGAGCTGGGTTAGTGGGTTAGACGAGTCAAGGTGGGTTAGTGGGTTAGGGTGGGTTAGTGGGTTAGGGTCGGGTGGGTTGTGTGGTGTTTTAATTTTTACAAAATTAACAATTTGATGGCTTGCTCAGTTGCTCTTAATTGAGATGCCTACATATCCTTATATTATTATAAAATAAGGAATCAAAGCCAACGTAGTTCTTATATTGTACTTCTTTTGGAATTTGGGGGGAGGAGGGGCTTGGACCTATCTTTAGAAAACTAAAATTTAATTTTGCAATTAAATTGTAATTTTCGAAAAATAAGTTGCCTACGTATCCCGAAAGAATCAAAGCCCACGTAGTTCTTATATTGTACTTCTTTTGGAATTTGGGGGAGAGGGGCTTGGACCTATCTTTAGACAACTAAAATTTAATTTTGCAATTAAATTGTAATTTTCGAAAAGTAAGTTGCCTACGTATCCCGAAAGAATCAAAGCCCACGTAGTTCTTAGCGTACCTGATTTAGACTTTTCTAGCCACCCATGTTTGTTGCATCATCATCCCCGGAAGCTGCATTATCCGTTGACGACTCCAATATCATCACAGGATCATCTTCATCGTCTTCGTCTTCCTTTAAACCTTGAGTTCTTCTTTCAGCTTGATCCCAATCTTTCTTACAAACACAAATTTGAATGCTTTCCGGAGTTAAGCGAGATCTTTTTTCATCTAACACTCTTCTACCTGCACTAAAAGCAGACTCGGAAGCAACGGATGAAGCGGGAACTGCAAGTATATCTTTTGCAATTCTCGCCAATATAGGAAAACTTTTTTTATGTTCTTGCCACCATTTTATAATTTGAAAGTTGTTGTTGGTCTCATGTTGATATGACAAATAATCATTAATAGCAAGTGTTGAAGAAGATGATGATGAGAATGATGTAGATGCTTTGTGTTTTTTTTCATAACTTTATCAAGAAAACCAAATCTAGAATCGGAAGTGCTAGTAGTAGTTGGTGTTGCCAAATCAAAACCATAAATAGATGCATAATGATCATAAAGGTCTCCCAAAACAGATTTGCATTTGTTAATATATTTACTAACATCATAATCGATACTTAAACTTGTATAATAAAATTAAAAGATTTTCCAAATCTTCAGCTTTGACACCGGGATCAAGAATAACAGCAATTTCCATAAATGATTGGAAATTCACTAAAATAAGTATGCCACTTACGTTTCATGCTATCAAGAACGGGACGAAGTCCATCAATCATCATATGCTCTTCGATGGTGTGAGCAACTTTAACACACTCAATTATGACTAAATGAATATTAGGCTCATAAATATAAGAGAAAATATGAGTTGCAATATCAAAAGTATTTAAAACATCACGAACAAAAGAAGCATTAGTCCAATGACTTTCGCTTATTAACTCAGTAGGATCAACACGAGTCTCATTGTAAAGTTGGGTCAAACTGTCACGATACTTTATAGCATCACTCAACAACTTGAAAGTAGAATTCCAACGGGTAGGGGTATCAATAGACCATTGTCTTTTCTTAAGACCTCTCTCTTTACACAAAGCTATGTACTTTCTTCTAACTGACTGAGTAATCCTAATCCATTTTATAACTGTTCTAATTGTGTTTAGCAATGGTTGCAACTCAGCGAGACCCTCTTGAACAGACAAATTCAAAATATGAGCACAACATCTAACATGCAAGAGACTACCACCCAACAACAAATGCAACTTAGAGTCATTTTTCAAATAGTCAATACACTTTGTGTTTGCAGTTGCATTATCAAGAGACAAAGAAAAAACTTTATTATTCAAGTGAAATTCTTTTAAACAATCCAAAATATGAACTTTGATGTTAAAACCGGTATGCTTTTCTTCCATAGCTTGAAAACATAGTATACGTTTTTGAATAAACCAATCATCATCCACCCAATGAGCAGTAATGCAAAGAAAAGGTTCGCCAAAACTAGAAGTCCATGTATCACTTGTAAAACTAACACGACCATCAAAAGTACGAAATAATTCAATCAAACCACTCCTATACTTATAATAAGAAGTTTGTGTATAACGTCTTAGGGTATTTCGGGGGACACGAGTAAATGCAGGTTGTAATGCAACTTTATTAAAATGCTCAACGTTTGCATTTTCACCGTAACTAAAAGGGTATTCATTAGCAATAACTAAAGTACTCATTTCATCAATCATTCTATCTTTACTATAAATGAAAGGTGTACCTCCGCCGGGTTGGTTCATGTATCCACCCAATTGTATTTGGACGCCACCCACCGAAGGACGGAGGCCATTTTCGAACAAGTCGTGTTTATTTTGCAAATGCCGACTTAAGGTTCCGGTTCCATCTCCCGTTTTCCAACTATATGACTTGACATTTGCACCTAGCGCCTTGCAAACTAGGCATGTACACGTGAACCTCTTTGGTTGACCGGGTTGCCATCCCGGGGGTGTGACCTCAACTCGTTCAAAATGTTTCCACACCCAAGAAAATTGTGCTCGACCTCTACTTTCACCGCCACCACCCTTTCATAAATCAAATTATTGAAATTAATTTTAAACGCTATTCATGAAAAGAAGCTTTTAAATTTTAAATATTTTAATTATATTTATTTAAACGCATTTTTCATGGTAATTAACTAATTGTAAATCATAGAAAATTGAAAACTAAACTAACTTTATTTTTTTAAATATTCATAACAATAAAAATTTAATTAGTAATTACCTTGAGATGAAGGTTGAGATGTTGGTTGTGATGTTTGTTGCGATGGAGGTGACATAGTTGAAATCGATGATTGGTGGGAGAAATGTTATGGTGGAGACGTTTGAATATTTTGCCTATCTCCTAAACCATAATCTCCATATTCATTGACAAATTGGTTTAAATTTTCCGTATTAATTTCATACGTAAAATTTGCACCACCACTCCTTTGGCCACCACTTCGACCACCACTTTGATTCCTTCCCATTCCTCCTCTTGGGCCCATTTTTTTTTTTTTTTTTTAATTTTTTTTTTATGATTACTAATTATAATATGGAGAAGAACTTTTTTTTTTTAGAATCTTAAGAATACTAATAATAATATATAGGAGATTTTTTTTAACAAAAATAAAACTCTATATAACACTTGAGAATTTGAGAACAATTAAGAATTTTTGAGTAAGAGAGAAAGAAAGCTTGAGTTGTGTGGAAATTTGAGTGAAGTGTGGAATTGGTATTTATAGGGAAAATTGAAGGGATGATCATACACTCAAAAAACTAGCCGGTACATACAAAAAACTAGCCGTTTTTTTTTTAAATGGATGTTAGGCCGTGTGGGTTGGGCGGGTCATGCGGGTTAGGTGGGTTGGGTGGGTCATGCATGCGGGTGGGCTGTGCGGGCTGGGTTGTGCGAGGTGGGTCGGGTTAGGTGGGTTCACGGGCTAGGTGTGTCGAATTAAATTGGTTAAAACGGGTTGTGAGAGTTGGGTCGAATCAAACGGGTTAAACCGAGCTGGGTTGAAATAGGTTGTGTTGAAAATTTTGGACCCACGACACAACCCGGGTTAAATTCGAGCTGTGTCGGGCTGTGCCAGGTTAGGTTAGACCCACGTGACCCACCAGCCGTGCGGGTTAGGGTGGGCTGGGTCCAACCCGGCCCACTGGCCACCTCTAGTCACGTGTATATTTATGTTTGTCCAAATTTCCTAAATAATATGCGTGTTATTTCTTTACATTCCTCTTAACTTACTTTAATATGAACTCTAGAAAATAAATACATTTGTGAGGTGGAAGGTGGATAATTTCAAATAAATACTCGTGTTAATGAATAGGTAAATTTTGTGTAAAATGTAAAAATTTGGAGTAACATTAAAGATTAAACCCATTTTATACACTACTTTTCTAGTCCAGCTAGGTTCATTTTTCATTTATGTCATGGTAAAACTTTGGTCTTAAGTAGTTGAGGACATGAAAAACTATGGCTCATTGTTTACATTTTGATAGGTCTCTAAACAAGGCGTGTATTGTGATGGACCCTAGACAAGACCTCACCCCAGATGAAATGGTGGTTGATCCATGGCGTTTATGCACAATAGATCAAGTTGAAGATTTCAAATCAATCATCAACTTAATCCCATTATGGTCAACCGGAATCATGATGGGTGTGCATGCAAACACAACTTCATTTCGAGTCCTTCAAGCATTCTCGATGGATCGACATATCCTAACCCCAACCTTCGAAATTCCTCCAGGCTCCTTTGGTACCTTTGGACTAATCACATTGATGTTTTGGCTCATCCTTTATGAACGTGTTATCATCCCTATGGCGTCCAAGGTCATGGGCAAACCCGTACGTTTGCACGTTATGACACGAATGGGAATTGGATTACTACTCTCATTTGCGTGCTTGTTGGTGTCCGGAATTGTGGAGAGTATCCGTCGAGATATGGCAACTAAAGGAGAAATCTTAGAAGATAAAACCTCTTCCACGGTGCCTATGTCGGCATTGTGGCTAGTGCCACAAGTTTGCCTCTTTTGCTTGGCCGAAGCCTTTTCAGCTATCGCTCAAATCGAGCTTTTTTACTCGGAATTCCCTAAGAGTATGTCTAGTATAGCATCAAACCTTCAAGGGCTAGGCATGGGTATTGCAAGCTTATTTGCAAGTTTAATCATAACTGTTGTTGACTGTGTTACTAAAAAATTTGGGAAGGAGAGTTGGGTATCTAGTGACATTAATAAGGGTCACTATGATTACTATTATTGGATCCTTGCTGGTTTGAGTTTGCTTAACTACATATATTTTTTGTTTTGTAGTAAGGCATATGAGCAAGGAAAAAGGGATTTACAAGATACAAAGGGGATTAGTGATGCATGACTACATAGTACATACTCTTTTTAGATAATTAAACTTTGTTTAGTGAAATTAATGTAGATATATTTCTATTAATTTTCATAAAAGAAAAATTTACTTAGGCCTATAAAAATATATATGTACTTCAATGTTTGGGTAGGTATAACTTGTTGATCGTATTCCTAAATGTATGTGACATGAATCATGGGATGGACTTCTTTGTGGCTATTAAGATAAGACTTGCTATGTTTTTCATACAAGTATTTGGTAACTGGTTAGAACTATCGATGATCATAGTGAATGCCTTGTGAAGTTGTGATAGGAGGATAACTATCTTTAAGGTCTTGTTCATTTCACCTTATTTTTGCTGAATTTAAATTATTTTTACTGAACTGAAATTAATTTTGCTGAACTGAAATTATTTTTACTGAACTGCACTTTTTTTTTTACTGAATTGAAATTATTTTTGCTGAACTGAAATTATTTTTACTGATTATTTTTTTTAAAGGTGAACTGAACAAGTGAGCAGGTCCTAATTCTATACTATTTTCTTCTATTTAACTATCGTTTTGTTATTGACTACATTACTTGGTAGGATTCGAACTTCAAATCTCTAGCATCTTAGGTAAGAAAAAACTTATCAAGTGAGCCAATAATTTGTTGATTTTGTAGTAAGCATATGAGCATGAAAAAAGGGATTTACAAAATACTGGAGTACAAGATACATAGTTTAATTTTCATGTCAAAAAAAAAAAAAAAAAAAAAAAATCTTCTTTGAAAGCATGACTACTCATGTTAGATAATTAAACTTTTTTGTCGAGTATATATTGTAGATATAATTCTATTTGTTTCATAAGAGAAATATGTACATAATTGTTGATCATCATCCTTACGACTTGAATCACGGACTTTTTTTTTGATATGAATGACGGACTTCTTTGTGGTAAGATATTACTTGTTACATGTTTCATAATAAGTATATGGTTAATCAAAATGGATGAACTATCGAAGAACATAGTTAGTACTTTGTAACAATGTAACCTGATAATAATCTCCTTTGTTTTAGTGATGACCTCATTCTCAAAGGTTGTAGTTTTGTTCTTTTAATTAAAATTGAATTTCATGGACAATAAAACTATCTCACATGTATCTTCAACGAAACTAAGCAAAAATAAAATATTTTATATCCAATTCATAGTATCAATCAAGTTGGTTGTGTTGTGACCAAGAACAGTGAAAGGCGGTGATAAATAATAAAGGGGTCGGCAAATTAAGTAAATTATAAGCATTAAGAAGCTATAGTTTTGACTCCTTTTGCCTAATCACTTTGCCTAATCAAATTAAGTAAATTATATTACCACATGCTTTGTGTTTGCCTTAAGTTTCTATTCCTTTTGCCTAATCACTTTGGGGCCGTTTGGTTCACACAGGGGAATCGGAATGAAATACAAAAAGGGAATGGAGGAGAATGAAACGAAACCCTCAAAATTAAGCATAAACAAGTTAGGGAATCACACCACCATTGCACCACCACAACACCTGTCCTTCATTTTTTTCCAGCCACCCCACCTCCCAACCAACAGCCACCCCACCGGCCGCACCTCATCCAGACCTCCACGAACCCAAATCCAAACCCACGCCACCCCCAAGAACCACCAAGACCGAAACCCAGCCAAGCAACCCCACGAACCAAGACCGAAACCCAACCACGCAACCCCACAAACCACGACTGAAATCCAAACCCATGTCCGGTGAGGTGTGACAAAACCACGACCGAAACCTAGCCAAGCAACCCCACAAACCACGTCCGGTGAGGTGCAACCTTTGGTTCCGGTGGAGGGGAGGGTTTTTTAAGGGTTATACGTGGGTGGGGGAAGGGTTTTCGGGTGGGAGGAGGGGCGGCGAGGGTCGGGGGAAGGCCGACGAGCATCCGGCGAGGTGCTACTAGTCCCGGCTAGGTGGTTTAGGGTTAAGGGGTATGGTGGTGGTTGGGGAAAGGAATGGGAAAGGTAGGGGGGGGGGGGGTGGGGAATGGGATTAGGAGGATTTTGGGTAAACTCAAAAATAAAAAGGGGGAATGAGAATGACAAAAGAGGGAAAACAAACACCAACAAAGGTAATCATTCCCATTCCCTTTCCCCATTACAGCGAACCAAACGCCCCTTATTGCTTTCACATTCCCAAGCAATATGCATGTTCCGTTTTAAAACATTTAGGCTAATTTGTCATAAAGAGCTATTTATGGTAATACTTTCGTCAAAAATGGCCTATTAAAAAAAGTTGACGAAAAAGGACCTTATCTAATGAACTAAATTATTCAATTAAAGTTTTGGGGGTCGTTTGGTTCTTAACGATTAATTTTGAAAATTGGCAAAAAATACCGGGAACATTTTGGTTTGGGTATGATCAAAATGAACTTTTTGAGACATTGTTGGCATGCAAAACGAAGCATTTCTGATAATTCTTTGTCAATTTGACCTCAAATTGGATTTTTAAGAACTAAAATGACCCTCAAAAAGTTTAAATTGAGCCATTTTTCCGCACGCAAATTGATACGACTTCGAACTTGCAAATCAAGACATAAATTATAACCACAAGCGAGATTAATTGGTCCGACTCACAAAATTTAGGTTTGATGTATGAGGTATGGGTTTAGAATCGAAATTCAAACCAGGCCATGTGTTTAGTTGACGATTTTAAGAAGTTTAAATCCATACCTCACACGTTGACCCAAGGTATAGAGTTTAGAAACTTACAAAAGAAGTGAGTTTGACTCATATCAATAGTTTCAGGTATCAAATAAAATAATCTTCATAATTGAACTTAATACATGATACACGTATACTAATCAAGGTCTAAAACCATAACATCATTGTTTCATTTATGATTTCAATCAATCTCATATTTACCACTACTATGTGTACTGTACTAAATGCATGGTATAGTACTGAAATTTATGTAGTAATTTAAGTAAAAAACACAATTTAGAAATAAAGTAGGATTTTTGTTGATGTTATAATAATAATGTTTACATGATCTGATTGATCACACATGAAACTTTTATACGATACACAATATTACAGCCAATAATATTATTAATTACTGTCTATAAAACTTGTTGCAATTATAAATAGAATATGGCATTATGCAAATTGGCAAGTTGTAAAAGTTTTTATCTAATTTAAATTGAGTACATAATTATTGTTAATAAATCACCGGAATTTTGCCTTTCTTTGTAGACAAAAGGTCATTATTCAAAGTAGATTAATAGTTTATACTCGAAAAAAAAGCCTATGCATGCACTTGGGAATAAATTATTAGGGAGGGAAAACTAACATTGTATCGGTATCATACCAAATTCAATCCTTAGTACGGAACTCGAATAAAAAATTCGAGAAATTAAAAACAAGTATAGTTTTTTTGCGGCGGTCAAAGGTGATCAATGCAAGTGTTCACATTGTATTGGTCAAAGCACTCCTTAGCCCCCTACAAGAATGATGAGGAAACATGTCAAGCTGAAACGAGTCGTATTGAAAGTCAACATACTTATGAGGGAATATCCCCTACAATATCCTAAAATAATTATGATCCATGTACATTTACTACGTATTACAATTTATATTAATCGTAATAATGTAAATAAATAAAATTTAATCGTAATAACGTATCTTATTTTTTTTCCTCGAAAAAAAGTAATATTCATTTCTTATGTTATGGTCAAAGCACTTCCTAAAAAGGTTAGAGTAAAATAAACAATACTTACCCAATCAACCATAACCCTACTCTCTTTGTTCTCTCGTCAAACTTAGCCATCATAGTTTAAACTCTTTGTTCATTCGTCAAACTTAGCCATCATAGTTTAACCTAATAAGTGCTTCCATTGATACATCAGTAGCCATATCATTGATGGTAAGCCTCATATACTCTTCTTCCTTTTCAGATCTTTAGTCAGTAAAGATCACCTACAATATAGTGATTGCAGTCTGTTATATTGTGTAGTGATTGCAGTCCGTTATATCGAATAGTCAGTTCTCTATAATATAATGAGATCTCATGTTGTTAGTCATGGTGGCTAGGATTCTTAGTTTTATTGTTTGTAGTGTGCGAGGGAATACAAATTAAAGTTGGGAGATTTATATTATAGATTTGTGAAATTGAGTGTCTATTGCATATATATATCAATGGAACACATACCACACCGTAAAAAATGATGCAACCTCTAAAATTATCGGAGAGCAATTCTAAAGCACGATATTATTATTTTAGGAGTGTTTGATAATTTATGTGGAGTATCTCATAGGGATAATGTGGCAAGTGCCGGTTGACTTTTATTCAATAAAATCACCCTTGCATTCCCCTATTCCATTTAATTAAAAAAAATAAATATTTATCAACAAGATATAAAAAAATGAAAAAATAGGTAGTGTCCCCCTAATTTATGATTTTTTTGCCAATTTTATACTTGTAGCGTTGATATGAGCTGCTAAATGTTTGCTACTCTATTCATTTTTCTAATGGGATAAAAGATAAATTTTGATGATGTCACAAATCTTCAATAAGTTTGCCTGAAAATTATCTTTTGTAAAGAAAATTCCTTTATAATTTTTCCTAAAGTAAATAGCTTAATATCGTGCTTATTATGGTTGTTCATCATAAACATTATCTTCAATTAGAAAGTGGGAAAAGTCAACTTGTCATTATTGACTTAAAGTTTTTTTTTTTTTTTTTTTTTTTTTTTTTTTTTTTTTTCATCCTTTGGACTAATTCGGATTTGGGGATCAATTTTGAATGATTAGGTTCCAAAAATCCTATTTTCTAGTGTTATGCCAACCAAACATCTTAATTAAGTTCTATATCTATCTACGTACCTTCTACGAGTAGTAATTTCTATTTCTCTGTGGATAAAGTTTGTTATTAGTCTTGACCCACAACACAACCACAACAATGTATGTATCTCAAATTAGAAATAAATTTGTCAAAACCCATCACTTGTAAATTGTCCATGATAACAATATATAGTCAAATTAATATACACACATGCTTTCACAGAGGATTGAGAGCCATACGAAAAGATAGAGGTTGAAGGAGAGTACGTATTCACATTGAATAATGAAATACTATAGCATATACTTGGACATAATTCGATCCAACTCTCGGATAGACAGATACCACTCTCAAAACTTTATCAACTAAACATCCACCCAACAAGGACAATTTTTAACATATATAATATTCATCCTCTCTGATAAAATATACTTCGTATTTCATATAAATCAATGTTGAGTTTAAACCATGCATCAACTTAAGTTTTTGATTTAAAT